AGAAGGCGTTTGATCAAGCATGTACAGAGAACCTCAGAAAGAATGCTTCCAATGCTGCATTGAAGATCTTGGCCTTTTATGTTATGGTGGTCATATGCAATCTCTTTCACCATCTCTTGAGGCCTTGGTCCCAGCCCCGGATTACGTCTGACCTTGTAGTAAGTGCTCCCATAAACCGAAAAAAGAGGCTGTTCATTCTGCCTCCTGGTGTTAGTTTTCGCAGTTTCCTTTCCAGAAGTGAAATGATTAGGAAAAAACTGGATCTTGCCCTGCCAAATCTCCATTTGTTTCTATTGTTCTTTTCATCGTAAAATCATTTGAAATAGTAATCATGATTTTTCTGGCACATGAAGCATGAGTTTCAGGAATTTCTAGCAGAGTTTGTTGTTCTTTAATTAATTATGGATTGCTTTAACTATAACGCATCTTCTCTTTGAACTTGTCCCGCGCCTAAACCTAAAGCGGATGAAAGGCATCATGGATCGGTTTTAGATCCATTTGCTGTGTTGAATCGTAACTAATATGACTGGGGCAAATGTTTCAAGGTTGATGAGCATGTACAGTGAAGATAAAAGCAAATTTAATTGGTCTTGTTTGATCGTAATCAATTGAGACTTGGAATTTTCTACCTGACCTGACCTTCGTTATCATGTTTCGTGTAGATAGGGCTCACCGTTGGCAATATAGGACCTATCAAGAAATGGATAGTTTCTATACCAGAGGCACTGGATTCCATAGTCCACTTCGGAATGATATGCTACATGTTTGTGCTTGGTTTGGAGATGGATCCTTACATTCTGTTTCAATGGCCAACTAGAGCCGCCAAAGTAGCCTATGCTGGAATGCTATCGACTTTCATATTGGCCAGCACCATAACTCCTTTTTTCCACTTCTTCAAAGTTCCGAGCATAGTGCGTGTACTTTCCCTTTCCACAGCTCTCTCCGGCACAGCCTCACCGGTTCTTACTCGTTTGATCACCAGTCAGAAAATAGGCAAATCAGACATAGGACAGCTGGTTATAGCAGCAGGAATGCACTCTGATTTTGTCTCCACCCTCCTAATTTCTGTGGGTTATGTTGCTTTTCAAGATGTGAGCGAATCCAATGGTAGTCGTATTAAGCAAGCAATAATACAGAGCGTTGCGCTATTTGTACAGTCAGTACTCACGGCTATAGTCTCTCCCTTTTTCTTGAACTGGGTAAATAATGAAAACCCGGAAGGGAAGCCTCTGAAGGGCTCACATCTTGTGCTCTCTGTGGCTTTTATGGTCCTTGTATGCAGCTGCTCGACTTTATCTGGGTACAGTCCAATTCTCAGCGCATTTATGGCAGGGATTTTTATGCCTAGAGAGGGGAGAGTTTCTAAATGGGCGCTTGGTAAAATAAATTACTTCTTGACCAGCATTTTCTATCCAATATTTTTCTTTTGGATGGGATATGAAGCTGATTTCAGAACATTCGAGCCCGGACAACTAATGACGTGGGCACGGCTAGGGATCCTTCTTTTAATAGTGAGTGCTGGCAAGGTTGCTGGTATCATCATTTCAGGGGCAATTCTGGGGTTTAATTGGCCGGAGTCTGTCATGATCGGGTTGCTTCTTACTGTCAAAGGCCACTTCCACATATTCTTGGCTGTTGTTGCGAAGCAAGTAAGTTTTCCTCCTTGATCTGCTTGCACTTTAGATGTCGTTTACCAGACACTGCTTCAAGCAAATAATTTTTCGGCAATTTTCAGCAAGATTAAAGTGATGTTGCACTACGACAATCTCGTGAATGATTCAGTAACATCGTCTAATTAACACTGGGGAGAATTTATGTGAAAGTTTCAGCCAGTTACATAATATTAAACTTGCAATGCTTGTTCATTGACCGGGGAGAAGAGGCCATTCGGCAGGGAGATTGTGAAATTAGAGGGGACACAACTACTGACATTATAACCTCTATGCTTACATGAGTAGAACAGTGACTGTTCAACTATCATCCACTAAATTATCGTGTGTCGTTATCATTTGGTAGAACATACTTCTTTAAAACTTATGGCGTAGGATTTTATCAGTCAAAGAATGTAACCTTTGGCCTTCCCATTGTAAGGAGTGTACCATGTAAACCTGCTTCTTTTTTCGGCCAATTACCATGCAAACCTTAAAAAAAAATGATGAAAAGCGTAAGCAGCAAAAGCAACATTCATGCTTTTCATCCAATCTCCATTCTCATGTCTCCATTATCTTATAAATCGATGCAGACTGACAAAACATTGCCTTCAACCAGCATTGGGATGATACTCGTCATTTTCTTCACCGTGGTCCATGCGCCATCTGTCGTCGCAAACATTATCAAACGAGCAAGGAAGCGTTCACCAACGCACCGCATGGCACTTCAGTGGCTTGACCTGTCGAGCGAACTCAGGATGTTGTTATGCCTTCGAGGGCCTCAGGATGTGTCTTCTATCATCAACTTCATGGAGATATCTCGAGGAACTGCCGACCCCGGAATCATGGTCTACGTCACCGACATGATAGAACTTACGGACCAAATAGCAGCCACACTGCTGCACGGGGAAATGGATAACATTACTGTTACAGACAAGGCTGTGACGGAGATGAGAGATCAAATAACTTCAGCAGTACAATCTTTTGTGGAGGATAATGGGGATGGAATCACATTGCGGAGAATGCTTGCGCTCTCACCATTCAGCGTTATGCCCCGGGATATCTGCAATTTAGCAGAGGATTTGCTGATCTCTCTTATCATATTACCTTTCCATAAATGCCAGCGTGCAGATGGAACTTTTGATGCAGGGCATCCAGGATTCAGATTCGTGAACCGTAAGGTAATACTATCTCCCAATTGTTCTGATGCTTCTCAAGTACATGAGGTTCCAAGTACGCTCGAAATTTTAAGTTCAGCTTCAATCGAAAGAGAGATGGCTAAGTATGGGAATGTGACATGTATGCCTGTGTTGGTATACCTCAGGATCACTATTTGCCTTCTACAGCTGTTAATAATCACTCTTCTGCTTCGATCAATAATTGTTCGCATGACTTATAATCATCGGAGGGCCTCGCATTTTCTTTTTGACTCTATAATACACATGTTGAGCAACATTCTCTTTCATGCAGAGCTATAGCACATCCGTAAATAGACAACATAAATCAAACAAACAAAATGCAAAAAAGAAAAAGAGCAGAAGAATTATGTACAGCCAGTTAGACTTTGGCTCCAGGACTAGAATCAGGTAGTCTTAGATCCATTCCCTACTGCTACAAAGAGACGAGAGAGAGAGATGGATAACAGAGTTTGTCTCAATATCTCTGGCATGTATATCCTGTAGTAGAGGCAAATCTATGTTCTCGTGTCTGATATAAGCAGCAAATCTAAGCAAGCACAAAAAGCATCACAACAAAGCTGGTACAGGAGGAAGTATCTGTTCTTTACAGACAATTATCATACTCATGACACCCCTTCTTCATGATGACATGTTTGATTTTAAACACACTTGATCGGGCTCTGAACTTGGCATTCACAACATTTTGTTTGGATGCAGATGCTTAGGCATGCTCCGTGCTCCGTTGGGATTCTAGTAGATAGAGGGTTTGGATTGACAGAAAAAATTTCAGGATCATATGTGTCTCTGAACATAGCTGTCATCTTCATCGGTGGCAAAGATGATCGAGAGGCACTTGCCTATGCTGGTCGTGTGGCATGGCACGCAGGGGTGAAACTCACAGTCATAAGATTCCTTGTGCAAACCAATGAAGACATGTCCACAAGGAGAGCCAGCAATTACAGATACAACGCAGCCGAGCAGGAGGAGGAGATGAAACTAGATGATGAGTTTTTCGCCAACTTCTACGAGAAACATGTGGCCGGCGGGCCTGTCGCTTACTCAGAGAAGCATCTTGCTAACTCAGCAGAGACATTTTCGACTTTGAAGTCACTAGAGGGACAGTACTCACTGATCATCGTGGGCCGAGGAGGGAGGGTAAATTCGGTATTGACCGTGGGTATGAATGATTTGGAGCAGTGCCCCGAATTGGGGCCAATAGGAGATGTACTTTCGGGGTCTGATTTCTCTATATCGACTTCCATTTTGATCATACAGCAACCGAATCTTAGAGGAGAACTGGAGGGTCTTGATGAAGATTTCTCCATCATGTAAATGTCAATCCTAGAAGTATTAGCTAACAGCTTCATGTACTTAATTTAGAGCTAGGAATCTTACTCTGGCTAGGAATATGGAAGAACACGTAAAAAGATAATTGACAGCTCATAGTTGAAAAACTGGAAGTCAGAGAGATATTACTTTTAAGCAGCTCAAACTTTTGTAGGGAGAAGGATAGAGAAGCAAAGAAAATGCACCGAGGACGATCTGTACCGTGCGTGACTCTTGAGATTTTTCACTCACACAGCTTTGGCGTTTCGGATTAACAATATGACAGCAGGTGACCCCCTTGTGAAATAGGAGACGTGGCTAATTTGTTTCCTTTCTGCAAATTTTTCAATTTGCAATGGAGATTTCTTCTTCTTTCTCCCATTATGCATTCAAAGATAGTTTCATCAAGGAAACTCACAATAAGTAATACTAGCAATACTTTTAATTTTATCGAGCAGAGTAGCTCCGCATTACCCACCATGACCCGAGAAACAAATACCACCAACCAAATTCAGTCATAGATATCTTCTCTTCATTGGCATATTACTCGGTACATTAGCATTGATAGAAGCTTTTGCAGATGCATTGCAGAGGCAAGTCTTTCAAAAATAGGTGTGCACGCTATCTATCAAATTTCCACCAACAGAAGTCAACATCCAAATGAGAGATTTCTATTGTGATGTTCATTGTCTTTGACTATCTAGAAATACCGGAGCAACTGTTAACAACACAAACAACCTGTAGGCTTTGGCCCAGTCGCCACACATCTACCTCGAGACATGGGAGGTCTGGGGTTCTGGGAAGAATATACTTGCAAGCCAATAAAGAAAGCAAATAACAAGCAAACTGCAGATAACCCAATGCAGGGCATAAATTGAGACCTGAGTGATCATGCAAACCATATAACTATATTCAACTGGACTGCTCTGACCAAAAGAAAAAAACTGGACTGCAATGTTGCATAGTTGATGGCAATCATTAGACAAAGATAAGTACAATAGGTCGATAACAATGGTGCTTGAACCCTCAGCTAGAAAACCAAACAGCTGTGAATGCCAATTTGCCAAGGACAAAACTCCGAGAATCCATTACGTTGAAGCAAGAATCTTTCTAGTAGAGCACCAGCACCTATGAGTACATAAGCAAGCAAGAATAAACAGCTGTTCCCAAAACGCAACTCAGTAGTCCCTTGAATGCTTAGCCATCTCAGCCTGCAAAACAACAAATAGATAAAGAGGGTAAGGTACATTCCGTGGGTGGAAATTACCAGTTACAGCCACTAGAGTCCTATATAACAGGCAATCAATGAGTTCTAGTCTACACTTCTTTGTCAATTCAAATACCAGCAACCTGGCAATCTAGATTACAGGTCACCCGTGAGATGAGCAACACTTCTCTCTCAATCACCCCTGAATCTTTCTGACTCTTTAACTTCATATCCAAATTATGCCATGTTTGCAATTTTTTAAATAAGCACGCCTCTTATTTTGCAACACACGTGACACAAGCCCCAATCACGTCCCAAACACTGCAAAAGAGTCCAACAAGACAAAGAAAACTGCAATCCCATCCTATAATCCTTCTCTAGAAGCAGGTGAGAATAGATTAAGCTGAAATCCAAGAAATGCATCTACAACTGTTCCCAACAGTTCTGATCACATCCTTCAGTTGATCCGCACGTCAGATGAAAAATACTATAATTCTTTTGGTTTTCTATCAGTTAATTCCCCTTTCGTGCATGAAAGTAGCCTAAAACAAAATAGGAGCTGCTTAAAGTGCAAAATTTCTTGTAATAATCTGATTCCTTAGCCATCAAAAGAAGAAAGCCACACCTCAAAAGCATTCCTTAAATGATCAAGTTCCTTGTCAAGATCATTTATAGCTTGATTATACGCCTGCATGGGCGATGACTGGCTTGTAGTGTGCACCTACAAAACCCAATCGAACTGCATTAATCTCGATATATAAATTAATCTCCAGAGAAAATTCCAGCTATAAGACTACTTCTCAGCTAGGAAAAAATGAACGAGCGAAAGAGATGCCAAAGAGTAACAAGCCCGCAATTACAGCCCAAGCTTATGGTACAAATGATGTCATAGTCAGTGCTTTACCAGCTGATTCAACGCCTTTAATCAATAGGCAAGTTTTCATATAAACAACAAGAGATTATGGCACAAATGACGTGATAATAGGTACTTTACGAGCTAAAGCCACAAGTCCTAAAGTTCAATTGATAGGCAAATACCCAAACAAAGATCATCCTCGTGCTACAACTTTGTGAACCAGAGAGAGTTGTGTTCTAAATCCCAAAATGAGAAAGTTTAGAAACCCCCACTCTACGCCACAAAAACCCGATCTCCCTCACACAAGAATTATCAAACATCGCCTGCATGATCAACGAAAACCTTTCAAAACATGAAAGGAAAAAAGAAATGTGAACCTCGAGGCGCAGCGCTTAACCTGCTATTCTTGTTACAAACTCTAGAAAGAGCGTCAGCGTGATGGACAACAACCTTCATTTTAATTTCTCAGTCACATGCGCTTGCGAAAACATTACAAAGTCAGACAAGTTCAAGTACCGCAATCCAACAAAATGCACCGAGTAATTGGAAAAGCAGACGGCCCGACCGCGCGCAAGGCACGCGTGCATAAACACATACATAATCACCTATATTATAATTGCACAGACAGAACAGGTAAACAACAAAATGACCGAGAGTCTAAAAAAAAAATGTCCTACCCGGACAATGATCTTATACTGCAGGGGGTGAGGGAGCTTGTAACCAGCGAAGAGCACATTCTCATCTCTGTGCAATTGCCTGAGTCAAAAACAAAAAAGGGCACCCGAAAGAGGGAAACACGATAAGGGTTCCCAATCGAACGGCACATAGGGCGGGCAAAGGACAAGACTTTCGGAAGATGCAAAGAAAAAAAAAAGGGTGTACATGCGAAGGATGTTGCCGATGGTGTGGTCTTCCCTCTCGACGGTGAAGGAAGCGGCGTTGATGATCTTGGTGTCTCGCTCGTACGAAACCCTAGAGAACACGTTCGACGGTCGATGAGGAAGCCAAGAGGCGGTGGCAGGGATCCAGCAAAACCCAGCGACGCGGGGAAGGGAGGGAAAGAGAGGGAGAGAGGGAGGACTTACTTCTTGGTGCCTTCGGGGACGACGAACCTCTCGTAACGATCGGGGGCGTTCATAGTTCCCTACCTGCTGCACCAGCTCCCTAAGTATTCTCGCTCTCTCTCTCTCTCTCTCTCTCTGTCTCTCTCGATGAATTTTGATTCTGAACGGAAAAGAGAGGGGAACACAAACTTCAAAATTCGATGAGAAAAGAGGCCGGACCGGCCCGATCGGAGGAACCGGGCCTCTGTCACTCACCGGTAATTACGTCCAATTAGACCTTACGACACAGAGTCTTGCGATTAGGAATGAAACCGAGTCAACTTACTCGCCATTAGCTCGTCTTCGGCTTAATGACGTCTCGGGATCTGACTCGCCTAATTTCAAGTCCAGCTGGAGCTACGTCAGTTTCTCATCAAGTCGAGCTCGAGTTTGTCGATACTCAATTCGATCTACTTGAACTTCTTTCAATTTTGTCAAGAGTATTTTGTTGTTGAACAAAAAAATCATTCAAAACTACATGATATACGAGCTTACCAAGCTCGATCTTAAGTTCATTTATAAGTCGATCATAGGCCAATTGAGCTCAACTATCTTGATTTTTCAGTCGAGCCACAACCGAAGCGGAAAAGTCGATATTGGATTGCACTCGACTCGAGTTTCCAATAATGAGTGTGCGATTACACTATGGTCGAGCTAATTGAGCCCGAGCTTAAGGCGACTTTGTTACCGAGTATGCAAGTAGAGTCAGATCTCAGACTTGACAACTCATATGCTCGATTACGTTAGTACTTGCAATCCCCACTTAATGGAACTGCTGAATAAGGAGTGAATGGGCAGATTTGGGACTAAGATCGAGTCCAAGAAAATCTTGTTCGGACATGCGAATGATTAGAATAAGCCACATTGGCTTTTATCCGTCGGTCAAATTGGATGGAACTAACGGAATGACTTCATTGCACCAACTTGGCAAGTTTTATGACTCGATTGGACCTTTTTTAAGCTTTTTATGACTCAATTGCATTTCCGTAACAAGTTTTAGAACTTCCATGACAAATTTTAAGACTTTTTTTGCATCATCTTGATCGGATTTGGGTAGATATGGATAGGCAGGCTCCCTTGACAATTACAACTCCTATGGGAAAAGCGAGTTGAAAGACCAATCCGTACAAAATTTAGTATCCAATTTTTTTTTCCAAACTAACGGGGATTGATTTGGATTAAAAAAAGGGCAAAAATCACCAAAAATCCTAAATTATGCCCACTATGAGACGTTTACCCTCTTTTTGTCAGTGAGAACCTTAAAAAATATGCATACATGGTAGCCAAAAAGCAAACGGTGTTAATATAGAGCCCCCGTGGCTAAAGTGAAATAAAAACGACGTCATTTTGACTAAAATAATTATCTAACGAAACCTTGACGGACGGTAAATGTGTCACACATAGGCACAAGTTTAGGGTTTTTTTATATTACAAGATAAAATTTAGAGTAAATGTGTCGCAGTTGACGTAATTTTGAGTTTTTGACGTTACGAAAAAAAAAGTTCAGGTAAATGTATCATGGTATACATGATTTGGGATTTTTGTAGCTTTTTCCCTGAAAAAAATTTGCGTCCAATTGAGGCCAAACTCTAATTAGTTGAACCATCGAGCGAGTGTAATCTAGCCTCTAGACTCCGTTGGTAGGGATGAGATCCTTTACACCATCGTTGTTTTCTTCTCTTGTTTTTTGGTTGGCCATATGTATTCCGGGACTTTGGAGCTCCTCTACGAGGAGCTCGGTGGGCCTAGCCGAGGAAATCCCATTAACCACCGTAACCGAAGGAAAGGAGTTCCGAACTCCCCATTCCCATGTGGGAGTCGGGGCCACTGGGGCAAGCCCCCATTGGTTCACTATAGTTGTTTTCATCATATGCCTCGTCCATCCAAACCACTAATTCGCAAAAAATATTGGTTCTTTGGTAGTTACGAAATTTAATCCACAGACATATTGGCCTTTATGATATTTATGACCAATACATTAATTGTTGAGATTTGTCGAGGCGCTTAATAGGTGGAGTCGGGATCTTTGTCCCTTTTCGATTTCATAAATATTTTATACCTCTCGTCCTACGGTCATATAAATAAATTTTCTCAAATCTTAAATTTTCTAGGCATAATCCTTATCCCATGAATCTCTCGTGATTCGGGATTGAGCATATCAAAACAAATTCAGCATCTCAAACCCTAAGATAAAAGTATTAAAATCCCATTTTAAATTTATTGATAAGTATCGTCCAAATTAATTCGTAGATGTGCATCCAGTCTCGAATTTGTTCAACTCCATTATCAACCCACGGGATCTCTCTTTTCTGCATTCCCGCTTTGTTTTGTGGTCAAAAAACTTCAAAACTTTCATTATGCAACAGTTTGAGAAAACAAAGTAATTGCTTCAGAACATTACGGCTCCAAAAGGAATAGATTCTTTTTTTTTGTTTGGTCGATCCAAAAGGGATCGATAAGAAACTCGGTTCACGGCTTGGACAACCCAAACCGCAACCCTCTCTTTGGCAGTGGGCTTTCTTCAATAACAGGAAATTCTTCATGCGGGCTTGGGCGTCGACGATAAGAGCTTGCGTCCCAGCCCAATTGATCTGCCGACCGGCTTATCTCCTTCACCAGAATAAAGTGATCTGTCTCCAACTCAACTATCTACCTAAGCTTCGAACCTCCTTAGGGTTACTGCGATCTCTGACAGCCTGACGCAGGCACGAAAGAAAGACGAGAAAGGTAAATTTTCGGTCTTTGTTCTCTCGATTTCAGTCTGCATGTGGGTTTTTCAGAAACTTCGGAACCTGGGGAATTCCTGCTTTTTCCTCTTTTGGAAAGGTGGGCGCTTTTTTGATCGTTGTCCATCGTTTTCTTGATGTAATTTGATGTGGAGAAGTTGTTGGGTTTGTGATTCCACGGTGTGCACAGAGCGTGCGAGTTAATTGTTGAATTGTCCAGCATTCTTTCTCTGTTCCTCTAATTAATCGATCTTCTTTCTCTGAATGATACCGAACTCTTTCTCTCGTTGTGATTTATTTTGCTTGAGATGTATGAAATTTGGAGCTTTTTACTATTTCAATTGTTTGTTGTGATCTGTCTGTCATTGGATATTTCACCTTCCCGTACTTAGAAGTAATGGTGTGTTTTTCTTCTTTCATGGATACAGTGGAAAGACATATAAGATGGGTAACCTCTTCTGCTGCATTCAAGTTGACCAGTCCACAGTAGCTTTTAAGGAGAGATTTGGCAAGTTTGAAGAAGTACTGCAGCCTGGGTGTCATTTTCTTCCTTGGATTCTCGGATATCGGCGTGCTGGCAAACTCTCGCTCCGATTGCAGCAGTTGGATGTGAAATGCGAAACCAAGACCAAGGTTTGTTGGATTTGCCTTGCAAAGTTTATCTTTTTTCATTGTGCAAACTTCCATCAACATTTAGATATCATTCTAGAGGATTTTGCTATAGTACACAAATGCGTCCACGATCATCTTAGTGGGAAACAGAAAATGTTTAAATCAGCACATCACTCTTTGAACGTCCTGTGCTCAAACCATCATGAGAACTACATTTTTGCAATTAAACTAGCTTTCGTGGAGGTTTGTCGAGAAGTATCAGTGCGGGTCTATCGATGTATTTCAAATAATTTGTGAATTTAGAGATGAATACTGATGAATTCGTCAATTTCCTTTTCTCGTTCAGTTCTGTGATATGGCAGCATGTCACTTGTTACCAATTGACTTGTAAATGCTTGAATAGGCAATGACCTCACGTGATATTTTTCTCACAGGACAATCTGTTTGTCTATGTTGTTGCATCTGTGCAATACCGACCCCTTGTAGACAAAGCAATCGATGCCTTTTACCAGCTGAGCAACCCGAGGAGTCAGATGGAGACCTATGTGATCAGTGGTATATGCCAAATGACCTTCCAAATTTGTATAATTTTCATGTGCAAGTAAAATACTCTAGTCCTTCAATTAACACTTAGAGAAAGCAACAACTATTGCATTCCTTTTTTTGTTGTTTCAATCATTGCAGTGATCAGAGCTAGTGTCGCAAAGCTAAACGTGGATGTTGCTTATGAGCGGAAGAATGAAATTGCCGAAGCTGTTGAGAAAGAGCTCGGAAAGGTTGTCCACTCTAGACTTCTTGATATTATTAAGAGAGATAATCCGAACGGGAGTTCTTATAATTTTGCAGGCTATGTCCGACTATGGATACGAGATTGTGCGGACCCTGATCGTGGACATTAAACTGGATCTTTGTGCTAGGCAAGCTATTCGTGAAATCGCTGGTAACCTTGAAGTTTCAATTGCCAATTGATTCTAGATAATTGTTCGACATGGTAAAATCTTTGAATGGTTAGTGATACATGACATCGTGTCATTTGCAGCACTAAGTGGCCATGTGTCAAAGGTTTAAAATTAAACTCAGCATACTTCATTGTAAATACGTTCCGTGGCCATTGCATAAACAGCATATACTATTTTGAATGTAGTGGGCGTGCACTTACTCTAATTGCACTAGTCACGGCAGCTAAAAGCTGTGATAAATTTGATATGTGGTCTCCTTTCTTTGCCAGTGCTGCCATTTAGACAACCCATAAGAGTAAATCTCATGTTATGAAAGACAAGAAAGGGATTCACATAATACTCAACTTTTGTAACATTATTTCATCTGCATCAGACGAGAAATTGGACTTTGTTTGGTGCTTAAAAGCTACTTCAATGATACACCACTACATGTCAAAGTGATCTGCATCATATGAGTTTACTGTAAGTTTTATTTTTGTTTTGGGCTGTGGATTGCAGCAGAGAGGAAGGCTGAAGCGGAAAAGATTCTGCAAATCAAGAGAGCTGAAGGGGATGCTAAGTACAAGAAGGCCATTGAGGATGTTTTAAGAAACAGTGGGCTTGACTTCTCGGAGAAAGTGCCAGGAACAACTGCAAAGGACGACATGGACATGATTCTCGTGACTCAATACTTTGACACCATGAGGGAAATCTGTGCAGCACAGGCACCGCTTTCATCAGAAAGTGATTGGTGATCAGAGTAGAAGCAGTCAAATTGGACTTATTATGTCTTTTATTACTTTATCACTAGGAAGATAGTTTTCCTCTGAAGATTCTTAATGTGGTGGTTTAAATTGTGTCCTGACTGCGTCTTATGTCGTATGACAAGATATGAATGACTCAGTTTGTATCTGTAATTATTTTCTATGCTATGATTGTGCTTCCGCTCCCATACTGTCATAACCTCCTCCGTCGGTTGAGTGCATTAACTTTGATGAAGTTCCTTTCTTCTGAAAATTTGGTCGGGGAAGATGAGACTGGATGGATTTGTTTTCGCCCTTCTGCCATCTAAGATCTAGTTTGCCACTGAAATTGACAATGAACGGGGCAACTAAATGATTCCCACCGTTCCTGTTAAGCATCCTCACTGCTAGATTTTCTCCTTCTCACTTCGCTCTCAGGTGGCTTTTTTGCTTGGTCGTGGCTTTCTCTGTTTAAGTCTTGTTCATGGTGTTCGGTCTCTTCTCCACTACAGTTGTAGCTCGCTTAGGCACCGTCACGGTAAGAAGTCCATCTTCAAGTCGTATCACACCAAAATGTAAGCATTAGAACATGGAATAACATTTGAGGGCTGTTTTTTAATTGTTTCTTTTTTTTGTTCCACTTTCCTTCATCTTGTTCTCGCTTGTGTTGATGCGTATCGCCAGTGCGTCTTAATCTTCCTCCTCCGAGACATCCATGCACACCAACAATTGCGCGTCTTATGGAACCTCTACCTCGCCATCGCCCCTCACAAACCTTTGGCACATATGATAGAACCAACCCTATGCCAACACAAGGGACAGCTTAATCTCCTCACTCAGCTTCTTGTCTGGCATGGTCCATGACGTTTGATTCCAGTACTCCTCCTCAAATGTTGCATCGAACTCTGGAGACAAGCCCTTGCTACCTTTGGCGATCGTCCTTCGGACACCACCTCCAGCAGCGACGAGAGAACCTTGCTCTATGCCGCGGCTGCATAGCTTGCCGTGTATTGCCTCACCTTTCTCGCGTGCCTCACACACTCGAGGTTCGTCAATCTCGCCTTTTCCACCATTCAGATTATTAGTGAGGAATAGGTAAGAGAGCGAGACTCTCTTGTAGAGCTTGGCCTTGGCTTTGAACCTCCATAGCAAGACGAGGATTAACCACACTAATCATGATCACTCCAAACTTTACCAGTGTAGTGAGCTCACGGGCAACGCGACCAAGATCTGAACGTGAAGATAATCCTGATATCTGCAATTGGCCATCTGCGAGGATAAGGAGCTCAACACTCTCATCAAGGAGCAATTGCGATGCGTCATCTTCAGATCTATTGGTCCCCAATCAACAAAACCACCAAGAAGAAAAAGGAAAGTGGAAAAAAAAAAGAAACAAATAAAAAAATTCCCAAATGAGTCCACTTTTGACTCTTAGCGTGGCTAATATGGTCAATACACCGTAAAAGGAGGTGTGAGAGTAAAGAGAGGAGTGGAAAAAGCGCGCTCCATTATATATATTTCCAGATTTTGAGTTTTGTTGGATGTCTTGTCCATTACATAGCAAAAGTAACGGAATATTTCAAATAAAGGTCCGAAGTGCTTTCATTTTCTCAATATAAGGGCATGAAGTGGACTTTGTATCCAATAAAGGCATGAAGTGGCTTATTAGTCTCAAACAAAAGTGGTAAAATCATCTCAAATAAAAAATTTTGGCCGACTGGTGACTATTTCGGCGTTGAAGAAGGGGTATTTTAGTCAAAAATTTTAAATATATTTTAAAAATATTTTTACTTTCTTTTTATTTTCCTTTTTTCATTTTCTCTCTTCCGGCCATCGCCAAAGACGTCCACCGACCTCAGGCGAGGGCGACCCTCGCAATGGCTGGGTGGGCGAGGGCCGCCCTCGCTCGATGCTGATGAGGACAATCCTCGCCTAAGTCTTATGATCGACGAAGGAAAGAGGAAAAAGAAAAAAAGTAAAGGAAAAGAAAAAAATAGAAAAAGGAAAAAAAAATTCAAAAAGAAGTAAATGATGACAATGCCCTTCAACCAGCAAAGTCAAACCCTTTTTTTAGAGTAATAAGCCACTTTATGACCTTATTTGAGAGAAGGTCCACCTCAAGTCCTTATTTGAAAAAACAATAACACTTCATGCTTGACTTTAGGTCTTTGTTTGAGATAATATCTACTTTAGGCCCTTATTTGAGAAAATGAGGGCATTTTAGGTCGTTAGTTGGAATTTTCCCCAAAAGTAATGGTATGAACGCCATTATACTTCTTGTAAAGTAAGAAACCAAAAAATAAGCAACTATTTTGAATGTCGTTCATAGAAGTAAACTCCGTTAATATTTAGGATTAATACCACGAAAAATCTCAAACCGGTACACCTGTGACAAATTTACCCCAAATTAATTTCTTGACTATAAAAAACCCCAAACTGATACATTTATGATAATTTTACCCTCCGTTTTTGGATTAATACAAAAAAAAACTACAAACTAAGGTACATGTGACAAACGGATGGTAAATTCCAAAACTGGTACATCAGTCAACTGCTATGTGTCATTTAACTCAGCAATTTGACAGTAAAATTTAACGGAAATTAATGGAGGATAAATTTGTCACATGAGTACTTGTTTGAGGTTTTTTATAGTAAAAAAATTAGTTTGGGGTAAATTTATCACATGTGTACTGATTTGGGGTTTTTCATGGTATTAACCCTAATATTTAATATCATCGAGACTTAAATTGAACATTCGACACAACTAAAAGGTCAGAGGGCCTAGTTTACATAGGAAAATGATTTACGGACCCAATTAATCCAATTTAAAGTTCACAACCGTATTTGAATATACCATTACTTTTGACCAACACCATTTGATTTTGATGGTCTTGGGAAACTGCATAAAGAGCATATCAAATTTTTGCAAACTCATGTAATCGCATTAATCAAATCTAATTTGACGAAGGTATCACCAAGTTTAAAGAATGATCATCCTAATAGTTTTAGCCCATTTCTCGGATACCCATTGCAAAAAGAATATTTTTCTTACCGAATTGTATTGTTCTGAAAGATTGGAATATATGCATTTCACTTTCGTGGACGAAATGATTGAGTTATTCACGCACCAATACCTCAAACTGTTGTATAATTGTTTTATGGTGAAATCATGTATATTCACACATATTCTATGATTAGCTGACAACTCAAGAACATATGACCCTACACAATTTTGAATGTAGTGGGCGTGCACTTACTCTAATTGCACTAGTCACGGCAGCTAAAATCTATGATAAATTTGATAGAACCGCTCGGGCAATGCCCGAATGTTAGGGCATTCTTTCTCTATTCCTCAAACTAATGGATCTTCTTTTTCTAAATGATTCCGGACTCTTTCTCTCGTTATGATTTATTTTGCTTGAGGCGTATGAAATTTGGAGCTTTTTCCTGTTTCAATTTTTGTTTTGTGGTATAAAATGAAATGCTGTGGTAGCCATTTTTCGCATTGTGAGCACCTGTTTTAGCGCCCTTCCATATCGACTTATCAGCCCTCGGGATTGGGCTGGGTGGGATAGTGAGAATTTCCTTCACTGTTTCCTCATCAAAAAGTTTATTCAATTTCTTTTCATTTTACTGCTTGGTTTGTGTAATGGTGCTGTTCTGCGGTATAAAATGCTGTGGTAGCCATTTCTCGCATTGTTTGCACCTGTTTAAGCGCCCTTCCGTATTAACTTGTCGGCCCTCGGGATTAGGCTGAGTGGGGGTAGTGAGGATTTCCTTCACTATTTCCTCATCAAAAAGTTCTTTCAATTTCTGTTCATTCCACTGATTTGTTTCTGGTATAATTAGATCCGCCACACTTTGGGGTTCTTCTCGGTTGGCAGGTCCTCCTGTCAAACCAGCTGAAACTCACTTATCTTCGTGAATTTTAATCGATTTCCCATGTCCCGCCGACCACATTATCTCTGAATAAATCGTCTCTCTTTCCAATATTATGCTTTGCCAGCCCCATGAAGGCCGGGAGCCTTTCCCTGCTTTCCAAAAATCCCCCCCGGGAAATAAATGCCCTTCAAGACTTGACTCCAAATGGAAGTTGGTGATTGTGCAAGCCTCCAAGCTTGTTTTCCAAGCATGGCTTGTTAAAGGACATAAGATCTCTAATTCCAAGTCCGCCACTATCTTTTTCTGGTTTTTGATAAGCCCCATTTCTTCGGATGAGTTCCAGCTGTGGGTTCGGACCACTATCTTCTCTGTATGTGTGCTTAGTGAGTTAGAGTCTTGTCGCTTACATCTCTTTCATGTATATATTACCTTCCCATACTCACATTGGTTAGGGCTTAGAAGTAATAGCGTGTTTTTCTCATTTGATGGATCCAGTTGGAAGACATATAAGACGAGTAACCTCTTTTGAAGAAGTACTGGAACCCAGGTGCCATTTCCTTCCTTGGATTATGGGATATTAGCTTGCTGGCAAACTCTCGCTCTGATTGCGGCAATTGGACGTGAAATGCGAAACCAGGACCAAGGTTTGTTGAATGTTAATGAATTTGTCAATTTCCTTTTCTTATTTCAGTTTTGTGACATGGCAGCCTATCACCTGTTACCGATTGACACGTAAATGCTTTAATAGGTAATGACCTCGCGTGATAATTTTCTGACAGGACAATGTGTTTGTCAATCTTCTTGCATCTGTACAACACCGAGCCCTTGCAAACGAAGCAAGTGATGCCTTTTACCAGCTCAGCAACCCGAGGAGTCAGATCCAAGCCTTTGTGATCGATGGTATGTGCCAATTGAACTTCCAAATTTGTACAATTTTCATGTTCAAGGAACATACTTCAGAACTTCAATTAACACGTTGAGCATGTTGGCCACGAAAATGGCACGCCCATGATCACCATAATCAGAAACCGAAACACGTTAATGAAGAAATTATCGATTCGCGTACCTGGTTTGGAATCTATCGAACTTGACTCGGAATTCGCGACGGTTTTCGAACACGAACTCAAGTGCTTCTCCCCTATACCCTTCGTTAGAACACTGGCCTAATGAGATTACCACTCACGAGAAGAAAGTTCTCTCTAGATCCGTATGTGAGTCAGATTGTGCATCATCAGGTTAGGGGAGGAACTTGAGCGCTATTTATAGAGTCTTCGATCACGGGCCCTCTCATTACGGGCCGGGCCGTACTCGGCCCACACCAGCCAGCCC